AAGGGAGAAGAAATGGGTAGGAAATATCAGAAAGGGAGACAGAACATGAAGACTCCTGACTCTGGGAAACGAACTAGGGGTGGTGGAAGGAGAGGAGGGCGAGGGGTGGGGGTGAATGGGTGATGGGCACTGAGGGGGGCACTTGACGGGATGAGCACTGGGTGTTATTCTGTATGTTGGCAAATTGAACACCAATAAAAAATAAATTCATTCTTAAAAAAAAAAAAAAGAGGGTGGAGCCCTTATAAAGGAAGCCCTAAAGATGCTTGGGTGGCTCAGTGGTTGAGGGTCTGCCTTCGGCTTGGGACGTGGTCCCGGGATCCCGGGATGGAGTCCTGCATCAGGCTATGTCTCTGCCTCTCTCTCTGCATCTCTCATGAATGAATAAATAAATATAATCTTAAAACAAAAAAGAGGCCCTAGAGAGACTCTTTACCCCTTCTGCTATCTGAGGACAGGGGAAAAGACAGCTGTCTATGAACCAGGAAGTTGATTTTCACCAGATACTGAATATGCCTGTACCCCAAATCTGGATTTCGCAGCCTCCAGAACTGTGAGAAATAGATTTCTGTTGTGTATAAGCCACCTAGTGAAGGATGTTCTGTTATAGCAACCTGAAAGAACTAGGAGATTGATACCAAAAAGTAGGGTACTGCTATAACAAATCCTAAAAATGTGGAAGTGACTTTGGAATTGAGTAATGAATAGAGGCTGGAAGAATTTTGAGGTGCATGCTGGAAAAAGCACTGTAGGTTGCCACAAACAGACTGTTAAGGGTGACACAACAATATATTAAAGTTAGGAGAAGAAACCAATCAAAAAGAAAACAAAAAATATTGGGAAAAGTTAATGAAATTAAAAACTATTTACTTAAGGAGATCAATAAAATGTGTTAATCTGTAGCCTGTATGATTAGGAAAGAAGAAAAAGGAAGAAAATACAAATTATGAAAATCAACAACGGAGTAGGTGACATTACCACAGATTCCACAGATATCTAAAGGACAATATGGAGATGGTTTGGATACTTTATGGCAATATTTTTGACAATATAAATAAAACAAACATAGTACTTGAAATATACAAATTATCAAACTCATTAAGAAAAATTAGATAACCTAAATATCCCTATAGCTATTAAAGAAATCGAATTTGCAATTTAAAAAAAAAAACCTTCCCACGAAGAAAATTTCAAGCTTAAATGGCTTCAATGGTGACATCTACAAACTAAGGAAGACACAACACCAATCCTACACAGCTTCAGAAAATGAAGAGGGGATACTTCCCAAATCATTCTATGATACCAGCATTACCCTGATAACAAAGCTAAATAAAGTCATTAAAGTTTGGAAAAGAAACACCACAGATATTCCCCATAAACAGAGATGTAAATATATGTTTGGAATAGTTTAGCAAACCTAATCTAACAATATTTACAAAGGATAACACATTATGAACAAGTGGGGAATTCAAAGTAGTTTTTTATCATGCAGAAATCAATGCTATTTATTATCTTAGAAAACTTTTACTTTGGAAAGTAAAAGCTGTATGAACATCTCAATGGGTGCAGAAAAAGCATTTGACCAATCCATGTATCTGAAACAAAATATTTGTCACAAGGTCTCAGAACACTGGAAATAAAAGGGAACTTATATTGAAAAATGGTATGTACAAAAACCCTAAAGAGGGTAGCCCCGGTGGCGCAGTGGTTTAGCACCGCCTACAGCCCAGGGCGTGATCCTGGAGACCCTGGATTGAGTCCCACGTCGGGCTCTCTGCATGGAGCCTGCCTCTCCCTCTGCCTGGGTCTCTGCCTCTCTCTCTCTGTCTCTATGAGTAAATAAATAAAATCTTAAAAAAAAAAAAAAAACCCTAAAGATAGCATCACACTTAATGGCTTCCCCCCTAAATATCAGAAATAACACAAAACTTTCTGCTCTTATCACTTTTATTCAACAAAGTAGGTTCCAACCAGTGCAATAAGACCAGGGAAAAAAGTTTTTCTGATTCGAAAGGAAGAAGTAAAAATGTCTTTATTAAGAGATGACTTAATTATCAATGTAGAAAATTCAATGGACTCTGCAGAAAAAGCTACTAGAATTGATGCTAGTTTATAAAGGTTGCATGATACAAGATCAATACACAAAAATAAATTGTATTTCTATATATTAACAATGAACATGCTGACTAAAAATTACAATACTGCTTACAATACTAAAAATTATAATACTATTTACAGTAATGTAAAAAGCATAAAATATTTTTTTAAAAACCTAGAGAAAAAATGATGTGAAAGAACTATGCATTAACAACTACAAAATATTGCTGAGATAAATGAAAAAACACACATGTAAGTGGAAAGATGTACCTTTTTCATGGCTAGGAAACTCAAAAATTGTTAAGATGTTAGAATTTATTTATTTATTACACCAAATCCTAATCAAAATCCCAACAGGCATTTTTATAGACACCAATAAACTGACTCTAAAATTCCTGTAGAATTTCAAAGGGCCTAGAAGAGTCAAACAGCTTTTTAAAAGAAGGAAGAACCTGAAGGACTGAAAAAAAAAAAAAAAAAAGAACAACCTGAAGGACTAATACAGCCAAATTTTAAGATTTACAAAATACAAAGTAATCAGCAGAGTACAGAAATGGTGTAAATACACAGAAAGCAACAAAACAGAAAAGTGTCCAGAAATGTACCCACAGAAATATGGACAATTTATATCTACCAAATTACAAAGGTGAATCGGTGGAGAAAAGCTTCTCTTTCAAAAAAAAAAAAATTCTGGAACTACAGGATATTCACAGGTAAAAAATTAAAAATTAAAAATTAAAAACCTTACACTGGCTGGCTCAGTCAGAAGAATGTGAGACTCTTGATCTAGGGATCATGAGTTCAAATCCCAAGCTGGGTATAGAGATTACTAAAATAAATAAAAACTTTTTTAGAAAAAGATTTTATTTATTTATTCATGAGAGACAGGGGAGGTGGTGGTGGCAGAGACACAGGCAGAGGGAGAAGCAGGCTTTATGCAGGGAGCCCGATGTGGGACTCGATCCTGGGACTCCAGTATCATGCCCTGGGCCAAAGGCAGGCGCTGAACCGCTGAGCCATCCAGGGATCCCTAAGATAAATAAAAACTTAAAAAAGAATAATGATTCATATCTTGCATCATCTAAAAAATTAAATTTAAATATAGAGGACAGATTTAAATGCAAAACCTAAGATTATGACTTATTAGCACAATGAAAAACACCTTTATGACCTTTCCATAGGGAAAGCTTTCTTAGATACAACACAAAAAGAACAATCCATAAAAAAATAAACTGATAAACTGGACTTCATCAAATATAAAAACTCCGCTCTTTGAAAAACACTGTTAATGGGATCCCTGGGTGGCGCAGCGGTTTAGCGCCTGCCTTTGGACCAGGGCGTGATCCTGGACACCCGGGATCGAATCCCACGTCGGGCTCCCGGTGCATGGAGCCTGCTTCTCCCTCTGCCTATGTCTCTGCCTCTCTCTCTCTCTCTCTCTCTCTCTCTCTCTCTGTGACTATCATAAATAAAAATTAAGAAAAAAACTTCAAAAAAAGAAAAACACTGTTAAGAGAATGAAAACATAAGTCATAGATGGAGAGAATTTTTTTTTTTTGGAGAGAAAAAATTGAGAGAAAAATTTACAAATCATGTATTTGGTAAAGGACTTACATTTAGAATGCACAAAGAACTCAAAAATCAATGATATAAGGAAAAACAATTCTATTTTCTTTTATTTTAAAGATTTTACTTATTTATTTGAGAGAGAATGAGAGTGCGTGCACAGAGGGAGAGAGGGAGGAGAAGCAGACACCCCACAGAGCAGGGAGCGGGAGCCATCTACCCAAGCACCCCAAAATCACAACCCCAACAGAAGGTGGATGCCCAACAGACTGAGCCACCCAGGTGCCCCAAGATAATACAAGTTTAAAATGTTTGAAAAATTTGAAAAGATACCACAGAACAGATAAATGGCAAATAAGCACGTGAAGAGATAGTTATTAGGGAAATGCAAATTAAAAGCACATTGAGATACCACTACACACTTAACAGAATAGCCAAAATTTTTTTAAAAAAAATTTTATTTATTTATTCATGAGAGACACAGAGAAAGAGAGAGGCAGAGACATAGGCAAAGGGAGAAGCAGACTCCATGCCAGGAGCCCAATGTGGGATGTGATCCCGGGACTCCAGGATCACGCCCTGGGCCGAAGGCAGGCTCTCAACCGCTGAGCTACCCGGGGACCCCTTGAATAGCCAAAATTAACATGACTAACTAACCATACCAAGTGTTGGGAAGTATGTGGAGGAAGTGCAATTCTCATACACCACCAGAAGGAATATTAAATATTATAACCACTTTTCGGAAGTTTGGTGGTTTCCTAAAATGTTAAATAAACATCTATCATGTGCTTCTGCCATTCCTCTCTCCTCTAAAGTTTATTTATTTATTTATTTTTTAATTTTTATTTATTTATTATAGTCACACACAGAGGGAGAGAGAGAGGGGCAGAGACATAGGCAGAGGGAGAAGCAGGCTCCATGCACCGGGAGCCCGACGTGGGATTCGATCCCGTGGGCCAAAGGCAGGCGCTAAACCGCTGCGCCACCCAGGGATCCCCTCCTCTAAAGTTTAACTAAGAGAAATGAAAGCACATAGGTGCACAAAGACATAAACACATATATTTGTGGCACCTTTATTTCTAATAGCCTCAAATTGGAATCAATCCAAATGTCCGTTAAAAGACGAATGGATAAATTGCGGAGTACACCCGTATAATGGAACAGTATCCCATAACAGAAAGAAATGAACCTTCGCGGCCCATTCCAAGAGAAAGCTGCACACGGCCCCTGCATTGAGCAACCTCAGGAAAGAATCTGGCTGCGCCTGGTTACGCAGTCTCCTAGCAACCGAAAAACAAACCACAGAAGCTGGTGGTCACCCAGGGACCAGAAGTACCATGGCAGACAAGAAGTGGCTGTTAGGGCATGGGCCGCTGGAACCAATGCCCCCGGGCATGAACTACAAGCCCTGGTACAAAGACAAGTTACCTTCCAAGTGTTTCGCAAAGCACAAGAACAAGCTTCTGAATTTCCCTACTTCTCTGGATAGCCGGCAGTGGATATTTGTGAAAGAGGGGCTGGACGACTTCAGGAGGGGATGTCCATCTTGTGAAGATCTGATCACTTACGGCCCTAAGGAAGGCTTTCTTCCCGTGATTGCTCACAGAGTTCCCAAACCTGCCCCTAAAAAGAGTCAGAAAAAGCTGACCAAGGAAGCTGACCTGTTTTCCACGCAGTCACCAGCCCAGCAAGCACGGAAGGCATTCATTGAGGACATTGAAGCCCACCTGACCGAGCATCCCTTGGCTCTCTACCCAAGTCTGCAGGAAGATCTACCTCCAGACCTGTTATTAAAGGTGCTAGAAGTGCTTGATCCTGACAAGAAGCTGAAGGACACATGGGCTTACTGTCAGAACCCTGAGAAAAGAATGAAGTCCCCCACAAAGCTTTGTGAGAAAAATCCTGCCAAAGTCTACCTAAAACCTCCCAAGAAGACTCCTGGGTCACGTCCAGATAAATTGCCTCATGAAGAAAAGGAGTCAAGCACAAAGGAATTGCTCAAAACTCCTCCTCTTCATAGAAGAATACCAAAAGGAATCCGTAAATTCTGTAAATGGGTTGCTACTTTTGGAGACTTGGGCATTGATGAAGAGTTCATCATGAAACAGTTAGAAATTGGCTATGAGTACAAACCAACCTATGACATATGCTGCATGAAGAAAATAAACCATGTTCCTTTGGATCTAAAGTACAGAGAGGGGCTAGATAAAATGGAAGATATAAAATTCTCCTTATACTGGGAAAACTGGGAGAGGAAACTCCAGAAACGAAAGAATCCTTATAAACCCAACTGGGTAAAGATGAGGTATGGAGCATGGTACCTGAAGCCCAAGTTGTGGAAAAAGCTAATAAATGATGAACCTTTAATTGACCCCAAGTTCTCATTTGAAGCTCAAGACGGGAGATATGGAAAGAAGCTCCCTGAACAGGATATTCTTGAAGATCTTTATGGAACAATTGCCTTTAAAGATTTCATTCTAAGCAAGGGCTACAGGATGCCAGGCATCCTTGAGAAGTTGTTCACCAGGAAGGGATGGAAATATGATTCTGTTAGGACTCCTATACACCGAGTAATAAAAATGTACCCAATTTTAAAAGAAGATTCACATGAAGATGTTTAAACAGTTTTCTATTTACTACTTGATCTCTCTCTCATTTTAACATCAAATAGAATTCATGATGAGTATCCCATTGTGTATGTGCAACTTTGATTTCACAATATCTGTCAATGTAATACCTAATGCTGATAAACATTCTTCAGTGACCTTCTGCTTGGGTTCATAAATATTTTATTAACTATGAAATCAATATTCATATTACTCTTCTTACATTCTTATAGCATGGTGAATATTAGATGATTATATCAATTATTTATAAAAATAAAAGTATAAATAAAAGAATTACTTAAAAAATAATCTATTTATGTCAGCTATAATATGAAAGGAATCTCAAAATAAATGTGCCAAGCAAAAGAGACTTGTGTAGATCTGTTGATATTAAAACTGTAATGAAATAATTATAACAATGATTTTTGTAAAGCAAAACTTAAAATTCATAGCTAAAGTAATGTTAGCTTCATTTAATAATAAAATTGTTATCTCACCTTTCAGGATTGCATCAAGCCCCAAAACCAGATTGAAAGCTATTCATCAAAATTAGAGGTGAAACTTTAGTTATGCTGTTTTATCATACCTCCCAATATATTTAAAAATTTTCAACATATTCATAAAAATTCACCATGAAAGAGTGTTTCTATATCATATAACATAGGTGTGGAAAAGCAAGGAACTTCAGGTCCATGGCAAATGTAGTATACACAGTAGGTATGTGTGAACAAAACTATACAGCAACATCAAATATCCTCACATATTCAAGTGAAATTAATCTTTGCATTTCATGAATAGCAATTTAAAATTCACTGAAATTTAAAATAAGAAATCAAGCAACTTCTTTATATTCCCAAAATAACAGGTAAAACTGTATGGGACAAGTAAATGTGAATTTAGAAAGATTTGTAGCACAGATCTAAAGCACATTTCTATTTCCAATAATGAAGGAATCCATCAATATATGGAAGTATATGCATATATTTCATCCTTGTAAGAAGGGAACACAAGCCCTCAGGTTGTATTATCCACTAACAGCCCTATTGCAATCAAATCCCCTTTCACTTCCTCTTCTTCATTAAAGTTTATTAGTGTCTAAATTACTACCTTGCTCTCTGTGACTACTTGCATTAACATTGTTGATGATTTAAATATTCACAAAGACTATCCATTCAAATCCTGATAATAGCTCTTTTTTCATAGAAAAAATTATTTTCTTTACTTGGGTACAAATATACACACACATGCTTATACATTAGCTTCAAACATATAGGTGATCTTAGCCTTTTTGATGTTTAAGTAAGGAGAGTAACAGTAAGACCTGTATGCTCCTGAATCTTAAAGATTACAGATGTGTGTATTTTTTTAATTGAGTTATACCTTTCACACAATACTCTATTAGTTTTAGGTGTACAATATACGGACTTTGACATTTGTCTACAATGCAAAATGGTCACGATAGTAAGTCTATCATCTGTTATTTTGCAAAGATAATATTGTGACTATACACCTCATGCCATACATTTCCATGACTTATTTATTTTATACCTAGAAGTTTATACTTTTTTTTTTTAAAGATTTTGTTTATTTATCCATGAGAGACAGAGAGAGAGAGAGAGAGAAGCAGAAACACAGGCAGAGGGAGAAGCAGGCTCCATGCAGGGAGCCCGGCATGGGCATGGGACTCAATCCCGGGTCTCCAGGATCAGGCCCTAGGCTGAAGGTGGCGCTAAACCGCTGAGTCACCTGGGCTGCCCGAAGTTTGTACTTCTTAATGTCCTTTATCCATTTCACATCCCTCCAACCCCCATTACCTCTGGCAATCACCAATATGTTCTGCCTATCTATGACTTTGGACTTTATTTTGTTTCTTTGCTTTGGCTTTTAGATTCCACATGTAAGTGAAATTATGTATTTGTTTCTGTCTGAATTCTTTCACTTAGCATAATATACTCAAGTTCCACTCATGTTGCAAATGGCAAGATATCATTCTTTTTTATGGCTGAGCAGTTTTTCATTGTATATATATACTGCATCTTCTTTACCCATTCATCCCTCGACGGGCACCTAGGTTGTTTCCGTATCTTGTCCAATTGCTGCACATTACTGTCAAAGTCTTTATTGGGTAGGGTCACTGCCCATACTCTGAGGTCTGAAGGAGGCATTGACTGGGCTCTGCAGTCAAGTAGGTCTGTCAGCTGGTCCCCATGGCCAAGTGGGATCACTGGCTAAGCTCTGCAAGTGCTTTTGATCAAGTAGGGTCACTGTCTGTGTTCCATTGTTGGGTGGTCTGCTGCTTAGACTCTGACTTTAGGGCAGCCCAGGTGGCTCAGTGGTTTAACGCTGCCTTCAGCTCAGGGCATGATCCTGGAGACCCGGGATCGAGTCCCGTGTCGGGCTCCCTGCACGGAGTCTGCTTCTCCTTCTGCCTGTGTCTCTACCTCTCTCTCTCTCTCTCTCTCTCTCTCTCTCTCTCTGTGTCTCTCATGAATAAATAAAATCTTAAAAAAAAAAAGACTCTGACTTTAGACAGGGCAGCAGGCTAGGATTTGTGATTGAGCAGACTACTGGCTGTGCTCCAGGACTGGACTATTTTTGGTGAACGGACTCACTGCCTAGGGAGGGCTGCAGGCTGTGCTCAGCCACTGAGCAGGGCTGTATGCTGGGCTCCACAGCCAGGAAGGTATTCAGGATAGGTTCAAAGGCTTCACAGGGTCACTGATGGGGCTTCCTGATTGGGCAAGCTCAGAGGCTATGCCCTGCAGTTGGACAGGGCTGCTGGCCTGCCACTCTGCTTGGGTAGGGTCATAGGATGGGCTCTATGGTTGGGGCAGAATGCTGGCCAGGGACCCAATCTAGGTAGAACTGCTGACATGCTACCTGATCAGAGAAGACCACTGTCTTCACTCTGCAAGTGGGCAAAACTGCTGGCTGTGCTCTGATCAGGTAACCACTGCCATGAGGTACACAGTCCATCAAGATCCACATGCTGGTTGCTGTGAGCCCTTTTCTCTTTATTTCTAGCTGATCCTAGGTAGTCTAGCCTTCCCAATTTCCCCAGTGTTCCCTATAAGACAAGATAAAAGTGGACCTCCCAGGAAGCTTTCCATAGAGTTGGGAAACCTGGATGTTCATATTGGGTTCTTTTCTTCCCACTGAAGGACCCTCTTGGTGTCCTTCTTGAGAGAGAAGTGGTGTGACTCTGTGTTGGCCTGGGAGTGGGGCTATGTGGTCAAAGTGAAACTACTCTTCTTACACTTCTAATGTGTTTTTTTTTTTTTTTTCAGTTTTAGTGGTTCCAGGGCTAGGGTACTTCAGCCTAACTGCTGCATTCTGGGATTTTCACAAAGACACTCTTTTTTTTTTTTAAGATTTTCTTTATTCACTCATGAGAGACACAGAGAGAGAGGCAGAGACAGAGGCAGAGAGAGAAGCAGGCCCCATGCAGGGAGCCCGATGTGGGACTAGATCCCGGGACCCCAGGATCACGCCCTGGGCCAAAGGCAAGCACTCAACCACTGAGCCACCCAGGTGTCCCATACAAAGGCATTCTTGTCTATACGTAGTTGCTAGTTGGTCTTTCTGTGGGGGAAACTAAAGCCAGGAACTTTTTATTTTGTCATCTTGCTGAATTCACTCCAACAACCATACTTTCTTTCCAGCATCCAGTGGGAAATAACTAATTTCCAAAAATCACTCAAATCTTAGTTGAGAAGATGGTGGCAGAGTAGGAGTCCCCTGGGCTCATTTTGTCCGGTGAACAGAACTAGGTAACTAGCAAATCATCCAAAGTAGCCCAGAGATGGACCTAAATACTGACAGAAACAAAACAAAACAAAACAAAACAAAACAAAACAAAAAAACCCTCCACAACTTAAGGGAGAGAAGAGACCACACTCAAGAAAGTGAGGTGTGTTGGGCAGCCCCAGTGGCGTGGCGGTTTGGCGTCGCCTGCGGCCCGGGGTGTGATCCTGGAGACCCAGGATCGAGTCCCACATCGGGCTCCTTGCGTGGAGCCTGCTTCTCCCTCTGCCTGTGTCTCTCTGTGTGTGTCTCTCATGGATAAATAAATAAAATCTTAAAAAAAAAAAGAAGGTGAGGTGTGTGGAAATGGGGTTTAGGGGAGAAACAAATCATGGCTGCTGCAGAAGGGAGGGAGTCATGATCATGGAAAAGGATTGAGAGAGAGACAGAGGAGCACAGAGGGAAATGCAGAAGGAGAATGTTTCCCCAAAGTCATTAGCTTGGAAAACAAGAGGAGCTGAATTAAGTGAGTTCTTGAAAACAGTGGGGCTTATAGCCTGGAGTTCTAAAGGTCAACAGGCTTGGCTGGGATAAAGCATCGAGGGCAATATGCTGCTCCTGGAGAGAAGGCAAGCAAACAATCTAGGGACAGACAGCTTGGAAACAGCAATCTAAAGAATGCCTGGGGCACACAGTGGGAAGATTATTTGCTCTTCTCTGAGTGCATCCCTCAAAGGCAGCTTTCATGGAGACAGCTTTCCATCTCTGGGAACAAAGGCACTGGCGGCACCATTTCCCTCTCCTACCCCTTAGTATAAACACAGAGCCACCTGTGGGTAGCAGGGCAGTGCTGATAGTGGCTGTCTAACTTGCTTACACCAAGCCCCACCCCCCTGTGCTCCTGTGGAATGGCCCTTCTCAGTCACACATCCCTCAGTCCCAGTGTGGCAGGCCACTCACCCAGCAGACCAACACAAAGCTCTGGCCACATCAAGTCTCTCTACCAGTTTTGCAGGGCCTCGGTTCCAGAAGAAGTAGTGACAAAACTCATTTCATAAGCATACCAGAGCACACCAAGTTAAAACTCACCACATTCAGGCCAGGGACCAAACACTGCCTATGGCAGGCAAGAAGAGCCTCTGTAGATAACCTGCCTGAAAGACAGAGCACCCAGAATACAATAACAGAGCACATGCAGCACACACGAGAGACACTCTGAAGTGCCAGGCCCTGGGTACTACATGACCTCTTCTTCAAAAGACCATTACTTT